TTCGCAGTTATTTCCTCCCGCTCTCCCTTCTTATGTCGTTTAGTTGACGTTCTTGCCGTGGTCACTGCTTCGTGCTTTGTTTCTCTCTCAGGCAGTTTTCGTTCAGATGTTCTCCCGGAACTCATGGATACAAGTATTCATGGGCCGACAAAGGGTTTGCTCGGACAACGCCAAGCGTCCAACTATGCCAAACCGCAAACTGCGGACAGAAAGATAGAGCCTTGCCCACTTTCAGGTTGAAGATGCGGCCGTTTGCGACTGTGATCATGCTGCCCCGAATGCACAGACCCAGCGGTCCTCAGAAGCATCGAAACAAGTTCCCCCTCGCATGGCTTGAGTGAGATCGGGGCGCATCGCTGTTTCGGTTCTATCGAAGCACCTGGGCCTATCCAGGACAGGTTCGGCGCGGTGATGATGAGCCTGTGCTCCTGGATTGATATCCTACCTGGTGTTAGGGTCGCAAGTGGGCAAAGGCATCTATCATGCATCAAGCTACTCTCGTATAGCAGCCAGTTTGTAGTTGGAGTGGAACGCTGCTATCAGAAGTTGCAAACTTGTTTTCCAGGTCATCGTCGGTGCATCATGTGCGTGTGTGTGTGTGTGTGCTGCACTCTCGAGTCTTCACTAATGTTGCATGTACTAGTACACTACGCAACTGTCGAACACAGTGCTTGGTTTCCTGACGCTTGCAAGATGCGAAGATGTTGCAAGACAGGACTCTGCTGAATCGGACAACCCCTAATCCTAATGACACAACTTCTTGATGTCACGCTGTGGCCTCAAGCCTTCTCAACAGACTTATGTGCGGCCGTCCTGGGTGGCATCCACCCGCGCAGCGGCCTCCGGCTTCTTGTCAGATGAAACCACTACAGGTTCATGGCATAGCGACGCAATCGGGCCTCATCGAGGTCAGCGACGCGTGCCTGCAGCCTTGGGGCCCAGACAGCCGAAGCTCCGACGCTCCAGGACAGTTCCTGACACTGACACAACTGGTCGGCCTAGTCCGACGGGAACGATGTCAGTTCAGACCCGCAGACTCAGACCCCAAAAGCACTCCTATGAGGCAAAGCACGAAACTCAAGCGCGCGACAGAAAGAAACCATCTGCTCCCTTCTGCGACTCAGTGGCTCAGAGCCTTGCAAGAAAACCAAACGGCGCTTTGTGTCCTCGTCAGGTAACACATCGGGCTGAGGCGACTGATGTTTCGGCCCTCACAGTCGGACAATCCAGGCGAGGCATGTGGTTGGGAGTCTGTGGAGTGAAACTTCACTGATGTTTAGGGCTTTAGGAGGACTTATACTTCAACGGAGATCGGCTTCGGGGTGACAGTAACTGACGCAAAAGCTTGAGGAGAGTGGATGTTTTCCTTCGCATCGCTAAGGCTAGGGATCTATTTCCACAAGCGAGGTTAGCTTGGTAGAACCAGGGACAAAGAACAGGCACGTCACGTCGCTGGATGACCTCCCGACTGATTGACCGAAAGGGGAATGGATTTGCTCTAGGAGGTAAGGTTGGCAGCTCTCAATGTATCCTCGCGGTGGACCAGCACCAGGCCGGTGCGCCTCAGCAAACCGCTTTTGATAGTGCATTGGTTCCTGAGGGGTGTAGATCCAAAGATCACCCAATGCCTCGCAAACTTTTTTGGCGGACTTGTTAGAGGCATTGGCCATCGCAAGTTGTAAGACGGTCATGAACAACTGTACGTGAATCGGAGGTCCATAATTGAGGGCTTTTTGTGGCCCCGCATGGCTTCGGTGTGGCGCGTGATCAACATCGAACCGAGAAATGTCTCCCGCCAAGGAGCTTCCAGCCCTCTCCTGACAGGCTGAGGCGCTGAAGGGCCGGAATAAGAGAAGACAAGAACGGAAGAACGTCCTCTCTGTCGGCTACTATAGATTTCAGGAGGCCTTCCTTATCGACACACCGATTTCTGAATACTCTACGCACTTCTGAGAAGTTCTGACCCTTCTCTGGCTGATGCGGGGTCCTAAGTGCACGCCAATGACCACATCCTTGCAGGGATTGCCCTTGTCACAAGGAGAGATCCTGGGCTGGGCGCGCAGAAACGGTTCCAAGCCCGAGTGATCCTGCCGAATGCACTTTTTACCACTGGAGCCCAGCTTGGACTCAAAGTCTGGATATGCCTCTGCCACGAACAAATCGTTGACTGACCGTTACTGACCACTGAACTAGCTCCCGCAGTGTCGAGACCAGCCCCGGGCCCAGGACCATGTCCTCCCAGGCACGTGCCGTCGTCGTTCATACAGAACCGGCAGGCCCACTCTCTGTGAGGTTCATGCAGCCCTACGCACCTGCCAAGGTGAACCCCTGTGATTCCAATGTCGCCATAGACAATACAGTACAGTCAGTACAGCGTAACATCAGCAAAGCCCAGGGGCACCAAAGGGTAATGTCGCTGTTGGGGACCATCTTTCGATGCGCCACCTGCAGGTCCAGCGTCTAGAGAGCAAAGCTTAGTTGCAGGACGCGGCTCCACCGAGTCTGGTTTGGGGTTGAGTGTTGGGGGTACGCGAGGTTCGCAATTTGAGCATTGAAGGCATCCAAGGTGGCACCTCCATGGCAAGGTCTTCGTCGCCATGCTTGCGGATGGCCATGTTGTCCTGTCAGGAACTGGAGCTCCGAAATGAAATGACGCCAGCCCACCTGTTCTCCACAGGAGATGTTGTGCAGGAGTAAAGGACAGACTCTTGACCTTGCATGCCTTGTGATACTAGTAGGCTGTATACGAGGCTCGAGGAATGAATACTCATGTGGAATGAAACCTTTCCTTTTTTGATTTCAAGCAACGTTTCTTTTCGACTGTCAAAGGGCTGGGTGTTTAGTAATTGAAGCGGGCAAGCACGCCGTGTTTTAAGAATTAAAGATACAGTTCTAAAGAGTTTCGGTCGTCTGGTGTAACGACAAAACAAACAACTCTCTTATGACTCCTGCGACCTTTGGGACAGTCGATGTAGCCACACTCACCTGGAAAACATTTACCCACAAATTTGCCACTGTTCTAGGCACCGGGGTCATTGAAATATGCATGAAAACGCTAAACACGGAAGGGTTGGGAAAGCTTAGGCCTTTGTCCATGCTTCCTCGTCCCAACAAACCTGCCGAATCGCCAACCACAGCAAACTGGAACGCCGTGCAACCACACGAGTCAGTCAGTCAGTCATACATATTGTTGCACCGCTGAAAGTATCACCTCTGGTGTAGGAAGTAGCATCGCCTCCCCGTCCCTGTCTTGCAAGAAGTTGGAACATGACGCCAATCATCAAGCAGCGTTGTTAGCAACTGGCCACCTAGCATGCCAAGACAGCTTCGCTTACAGTAGCAGTTCTTCATCGCGGGCATGAAAGTGCGAAGTTGTTGGCTGGTGTACGGCCGAGTCTGCGCCGTGAGCAGCTCTCACCTGCGAAAAACTCTCGGGCCACACTCATGGTAATCTTTCGAGTCGCCTGAAACAAGCTGATTTTTCACGATGCAAACCGCCAGCCACATGCACACGTAAGACATTCGCCAGCACTCGCCAGCCACCCGCAAACCCCCACGGGCACACACCCAAATCGCTGTGTCCCTTTGGTCCTTTGGGCCATCCATGCGGAACTTTGCTGCAGTGGTGGCTGCATGCAAGTGGATCCCCTGGAGAGGAGGACGATTCGGGTTGAGGTTGAGGCTTTGCAATTTAAGGATTTCTTCGATTGGATTATTGCTTTCGGGATCGAAGGCTCCACAGGCTCTTCCTCGAGAATCCTTAACCCTTTGCGCCGAACCAGAACCACAGGGTTTAGATCAACAAGGCTTATATGAAAGGAACCCAAAATCTCATTTTTGTATGTGGTTGGCTTTATTTGTGTTTAAAAGTGTTTTTTTTTTGTATTTAAAAGTATTGTTTTGTATTTAAAAGTTTGTTAAATAGGTTTTTTTGTGTTTTACAGTTGTTAAAATTCTTTTATTTTATTTTTGGTGTAAAAAAATACATGTTTGTGAATTTTGTTTCTGAGTGAGTCAATTGGCTTCCTGTTGTTCTACCTGGTTTCCTGCTGTTGTATGTCTAAAAAATTGTTGTTTATTTGTTGTTGAAGTTAATAATTTTTAATATTTAATCTTTTTAAATAGTTTTGGGTTGTGATTGAATAAGAAGGGAGGCCGTAGTGACATGTTGACTTGCCTTGAGATCTTGCCCTTACCCACGCGGATCGACTGCCCTTCTCGGTTCGTGGGCACCGTTGGCCGGGTGTCAGGTGTTGAGTCGATGGTACCTGGACCGCCTTGGGGCCAACGTGCCAGGGCAGTGGCATATGACACCCGGGCACATGGGCTAAAGTGCCGGGTGAGGTGGTCCAGTCCAGTGGGTGTTGTTCGCAATCTGCTTACAGCCCTGAAGGGGAGGCCATCCATGCTTGTCACGTTAGTGAGCCTTGCGACTTGGAGCGACAGAGGCAGAGTGCCACCTTACCCACACGGATCGACTGCCCATCTCGGTTCGTGGACACCGTTGGCCGGGTGTCAGGGGTTGTCGATGGTACCTGGACCGCCTTGGGGCCAACGTGCCAGGGCAGTGGCATATGACACCCGGGCACATGGGCTAAAGTGCTGGGTGGGGTGGTCCAGTGGTTGTGGCTTTTTTATTTTTCTCCCAACCAGGAGGGGAGGCCATCCATGCTTGTAACGTTAGTTAGGGAGCCTTGCGACTTGGATCGACAGAGGCAGAGTGCCAGTCGAGCCTCTCGAGGTTGCCTTACTTAAGTCCCTGCCCCATCGGGGTTGCTCCCCACACCGTTGGCCAGGTCTAAGTGTTCGGTTTGAATCCAAGCCTAGTGAACGCCTTCTCTTCCATTTCCTTCTCCCCCATCGGTCTTCATCGGCTTCCAGCCCATCGAGAAGTGGATGCCAACTGCTGGGATCTCAGCATCAGCTTGCTTCAGCTACTTCCATTATTATGGTACAGTCCTGGCACCGAGGCTCATGACGAGGATCCTGAGGACATGCTGCCATCGCAGAGGACAAGCTGCCTTGCATAGTCAGTGAGCGTGTCATGTATAGCAACTTGCCGCTGCAGCAGTTGTGCTCGCTGTTGCCCTGCGTAATCTACTATAGTCGTGTTACAGCTGCTCTGTCTCAAGTCTAAGTCGTAGTAGGCGCCCCTGCAAGCCGGCAGATGTCGTCGACGTCGTGGAGTGACAGTGAGTCTCTGGGCTCGGACTGGGTTCTGGTTGACGATGAGGGTGCAAGCACTGCGGGCTCGGTGGCGGACAGTTTTGACGACGATGATTCTGTGATTCCGTTCGACACGATGCTAGAGGAGTGCTTTACGACATTCTGGATGTTTCTGAATTCTCAAGAGCGTGGGCAAGTCTTGCAAGTAGCCTGGTCTGTCAATGCGCAGATCATGTTCACACTCTTTCCGAGACTTCGGCGGGATTTTCGGCAAGGCAGAGTGCCAGGAATTTTATATTACAATGTGTCAGACGAATTTCTGGCGTTACTGCTTCAATGATTTGTCGTGTTTGTACAGCCTCCGAGACCGTATTACGGATGTTGGGGAAGGCAGAGTGCCGGGTTTGCGTGTGTTTAGAGGATTTTGATTTCGACGATCTCTGCCAGCAGAGCTAGACTGTCCGATTTGAGACCTCAGCGGTAGTGTGCGCAACTTGGATTCAAAACGGTTACCCAGCATGACATGCTGACTACACAGTGCCGGGTGGCAGTGATGTCCTCAGGACCCTGCTGTCTCCGAGGCTGGCTGCCTGCATGCCTGCCTGCATAGTCTGTCAGTGAGTTGCCTTGCACCATACATGATCGACATCTGTCTGCCGGCCAGGGAATCAAGTGATTCATTCATACTGATGTAACAGTAGTAACACAATGTTACATATCATTGATTAATGTACTGTATAGTGGTGCATTAGTCACTGTTAATGTTTTAATCTTTGGACAATTGAAGTGTGCTCGATGAAAGCAGTGATCCCGACGACCTGCTCTGTCTCTAGTCTAAGTCGTAGTAGGCCTCCGTGCAAGCCGGCAGATGTCGTCGACGTCGTGGAGTGACAGTGAGTCTCTGGGCTCGGTCTCGGACTTATTGGCTGTTGGCGAGTTTGCAAGCACTGCGGCGTTTGGGGGTTCGTTTGTGGGCTCGGTCGCGGACAGTTTTGACGACGATGATTATGTGATTTATTTCGACGAGCTGCTAGAGGAGTCCTTTTCGACATTGTGGATGTTTCTGAATTCTGAAGAGCGTGGGCAAGTCTTGCAAGTAGACTGGCATATCAATGACATGATCCTGTGCGTACTCGTTCCGAGATTTGTGCGGCAAGGCAGAGTGCCAGGAATTTTACATTACAATGTGTCAGACGAATTTGTGTCGTCACTGAATCAGTGATTCATCGTGTTTGTACAGCCTCCGAGACCGTATTACGGATGTTGGGGAAGGCAGAGTGCCGGGTTTGCGTGTGCTTAGAGGATTTTGAATTCGACGATCTAGCCAGCAGAGCTAGACTGTCCGATTTGAGACCTCAGCGGTAGTGTGCGCAACTTGGATTCAAAAGGTTACCCAGCATGACATGCTGACTACACAGTGCCGGGTGGCAGTGACGTCCTCAGGACCCTGCTGTCTCCGAGGCTGGCTGCCTGCCTGCCTGCCTGCATAGTCTGTCAGTGAGTTGCCTTGCACCATACATGATCGACATCTGCCGGCCAGGGAATCAAGTGATTCATTCATACTGATGTAACAGTAGTAACACAATGTTACATATCATTGGTTAATGTACTGTATAGTGATGCATTAGTCACTGTTAATGTTTTAATCGTTGGGACAATTGGGTGCTCGATGAAAGCAGTGATGCCGACGACCGTTTCAAGGTGCTCAGGGAGTTCCGAGGCAGAGTGCCAGACTTCTGCTGCTGACCATCAGAATCAGGCCAATCACATTGACCTTGGCAGTGATTACTGGAACGAAGCCGTGCAACAACTTCGGTGGAATTGTTTACACTGTGGCAGATCAGCTGCCGACTATACCACCGGGCTCCGAAAGATCCAAAGGGCTGCACAATTGGATCAACGAATCAAATTGGCAGTTGAGGCCATCTCAGATTTCGGAGATATGGATATGAAGTTGTACAAAGCATGGACCGGCCAGACAGATGTGCTGCCTGGTCGATCCCGCCACCTCGGCCATGCCAGCATGATGTCGAGACGTGGCCCATGGATGATGTTTTGATTTACGACCATCCCCAGTGGCAACTGTTTGTTGGCAGTATTGGTTGCCCGATCCGATATGACCAGCTCCGGGTCAAGCCTGACATTGTCATCTCTATGAATGCAGATGACAGACCTCGGAATTTTGAGCCATGGGACTGGTATCAGTATTTGGCGAATTGTGGACCGTTTGGCACTGCACATCTTCGGTATGGTGGCTGGGATCAAACACATGCCAATGACTTTGATGCTGAACAAAGAAGTCATGAGTTCAAGACCATTTGGCGCCGCCTCATTTCAGATTTCAGAAAGATTATGATGTGCTGGCAGCGCTCAGCAGAGGAGTTCAGCCAGAGTCAAAGGCAGAGTGCCATCAAGGGCAAAATGATGGGCAAGGCCAATGGCGGCAGGGGCAAGGGCAAGACAATCAGCAAGGGCTACAGCGGCCCCTGTCAGGTTTCCAATCACATGCAAAGCCAGAAGGCATCGACGAAGGGCTCATTTGGCTATGGCTGCTCCTATGACAAGGGCTTCAGCAAGGGAAGTGACATGGGCAGCCTGTTCGGAAGAGCCGCTGATGGAAGGCAGAGTGCCGATGGAAGGCAGAGTGCCTTGAAGGTGGCCGATGAGACATTCCCTGGTGAGCTCGGTAATGCTCTTGCTTTGTTGGAGGCGATGAAGCTTCAGGGAGGTGGTCGGAAGCGTGGAGGCAAGAAGAGGCCAATTCGTGTGCTTGTCCATTGCTACGGTGGCATTAACAGGACCTGTGCTGCTTATTGTGTCCTAGTCATGGCCTTTGCCTCGATGACCATGGAACAAGCCATTGTCAGGTGGATCAACCACCGAGCCTACTATGCTCCATTCCGGGATCGTGAGTACATGATTGAAGCACTGCTGGAAATGCAGGATGAGCTGCACACGTACAGTTGATCATCGACACTGAACCCGAAGTCCATGGTCAAACAGTTCTGCTCCAATGAATGATTCTGAGCCGTCGAAATTTGTGTCCCGACACTGGCCCAGCCAGAGAGTCCTGGACCCGACACTGGACTGCTGGCTGGAAGTGAAACACAGTCCTTACCTTGATAAGGCTAATAGTTACATTCCCACTTTCAGCTGGCAGTCACAGCTTAATTCGTGCTTTTAAACCTGGCTGCCGGTGTTACTGACTGAGCTTAAAAAGAAAGTGAGATCATGCCCGTCTCGGTTGTGGAAACTGTCAGTTCCTTTGTCGGTTGTGCCGACATGGTGATCAGGGCCGCTGGGGCGATTGGATGAGTGAATCCAGCCGGCGACTCAGTGGGTGCAAGTGTGACTTTAACAGTCAGTCTCCGGTGATTGTAATGAGTGCTCATTTTTGCCTACTTGTGCTGTTGCAGCAGTCTGGGTTCCGGTGTAAGGCAGAGTGCCCTTGTCCCAATTGTGCAGTGGGCAAGTCATTATCC